GGACACCCAGACCTCAGACGTCCAGCCTCCAGAGCTATGAGACGATACATTCCTGTAGTTAAGCCACCTGATTTGTGCCACTGGTAGGGCAGCCCCAGCAAACCAACAGAGCATGTAGGGAAGCCTGAAAAACTCCAGCCAAAGAGACAGCAGTCCGAGAAGATTTAGCCAGTTGTTCAAGTTCAGGAATGGCTTGTAGCATGGCCCCAGGCAAGACCCCCAGCCTCCCGGCACAGGCCCTTTCCATCCCCTCAGCGCCTCCCCATTGCCTGCATTTTAACCGTGGCTCCTGGTTAAATCCTCCTTGGGGTTGTCATCCTGTACCCGCGCTGGCAATGCCCCTCGTTCAAAGGAGTGAGTTAGGATTGGGCATAACTTCTCGCCTGTGGGCTGAGTATGGAAGACATCTAGGATCGGAGTCTCACTAGCACACGGCCTGTCTGTGAAAGCTCACAAAGGATGCCTGGGGACACCCGTCTGCTAAGATGTGGGGGGACTCTTGCTTGTTCAGCGGCCCCCAAAGTCCAGCAGGATGTTGGCCCCGCCAGCTCCACGCGCAGCAGGGCGCGTGAATACGTGTGCAGTCAGCTCTGGGAACCGGCTGCCAGCCGGAGGCAAATGTTTGCTTGGCCGTCCTTACAAAGACAGCTGTTCTGAGGTGTGGAGGTGCCCTGTGGTCTCCCCGGGGCGCTCGCTGGGCTTTGGCAGAGAGGAGATCAGCTGTGGTCTGGCAGGGGACAGTGAAGGACTGTGTGAGGCTGAACGTGTCTTTATCTCAGCGCCAACGTAAAGGGAGCTGAGCAGGAGGCTCGGTAGTGGGGTGTGAGACCCACCTCTCTCCGCCCCTCCCCACTGAAAAGTCCTCCCTGTGCTCAGCACAGTGAGATTCTAAAATCAAGGCTCGATCCCCTTGATCTAAACAAGTTAGAGGTTTCTTAAAATGCAAATAAAACGAAAATGCTCCCTGAGATGAGGTAGGGTAGCCGTATTGGGCATTTATGTCCTGATGTCGAAGGCTTTCTCAGATCCTTCTGGGTGAGTTTTATTTGGAGAAGAAAGAAAAGAACGGAACACGTGTTTTCAGAAAGGGGACATGGTCGTTCAGTATTAGCTGTTGCCATTTAAAGAACATTGTTTTCATGCTGGGCACCAATATGAGGCAGAACTGGAGGCAGAACACCAGAGGAGGATGGTCGGAGAGTGAGGGCACCATGGCTGTGGTGGAATGACACAGTTTCGGGTCTGACCCTCATTGGGCAAGAGCAGGAAACACGTGCCAGAGTCCCTGGAATGGTCCGTCTGTCTCCATGGCCCAAAGAAGGCCGTCAGGGACTGAGGTATGAACACAGCGTCGAAATGAAAACTGTATGTTTACTGAACAGCAAGTTCTCCCTGTAGGAGCTCTACTTGAGAAGACAATTCTAATCAGAGAGATGTGTGATAAACAGGAAAGTGTGTGTGTGTGTGGTGTGTGTGTGTGCATGTGTGTGTGTGTGTGTGTGTAACAGAATTTGTTGGGTAATAGAGGATTAATGGCTGGTATCATTAAGCCTTTGTGTCAGTAGTCAGAGTAGAAACAGAAACCACCCCAGGTGGTTTCAGCTCTGACCCTCATTGGGCAAGAGCAGGAAACACGTGCCAGTGTTCCTGGAAGGGGTCCATTTCCATGGCCCAAAGAAGGCCGCCAGGGACTGAGGTATGAACACAGCATTGAAATGAAAACTGTAAGTGTATGTTTACTGAACAGCAAGTTCTCCCTGTAGGAGCTCTACTTGAGAAGACAATTCTAATCAGAGAGATGTGTGATAAACAGGAAAGTGTGTGTGTGTGTGTGTGTGTGTGTGTGTGTGTAACAGAATTTGTTGGTATCATTAAGCTTTTGTGTCAGTAGTCAGAGTAGAACCAGAAACCACCCCAGGTATTTCAGCAGA